TTACTGGTATTATTGATGTAATGGGTTCCAGGGAAAAATTGACCTAACAGTAGGTCAATTTTACTGGTATTACTGGTATTATTGATGTAATGGGTTACTAGATTCCTAGTTAGCGTACTGAGAGTTAGAAATATTTTACAGACAAGCGTTACCACAAGCCCAGATAATAAAGGCTATTTCTTAATTCAAAAGACAAGATGTACTAGACATCTTCTAACGACGACGGGAATCCCTAGGATGAATCCTTATATCTGCCAATTGATGAACCACTTCTCGGAGGTCTCGTTCGTGAGCTCTTGGGCGAACTCGCGATTTCGGTGGTTAATTGTTGTCACAGTGCGTCATTGGTTCTCCTCGTCCCTTCGAGCGCTTCTTCTAGATGTCGAATGCGGACGGTATTAACGCTTGAGTTGGCATCAATTTCCATGATTCGGTCGATGGCTGCTCGACCTTGCTTGACATTTCGAGCAATTCTGCGGACCATAACGGGCAAAGCTCTATCCGCAGAACCACCTTCGCTAACGTTGTAAAAGCTTCGGTCCCCAATGTATGGTAAGGGTTGACCCTGTTCGTCACTCCAACGATTCATGTTATTTACCCACAAGGGAGTGGGACCTGGAAAAGCTGGTCGAGGGTTGTTGTTCGGGGCTTGACCTACTGGAGGTAGGTTGTTGACTTCGAGCTCAGAGTCCGATCCATCCGTGAAGCCTTCAGCTTGATGATCATCCAACGGAATTTGGTGCTCATCATCGGACTCTGCTTCGAGCCATCCTGCGTTGCCTTCATTTGGAAAGTACGAGTCGCCGTGATGAAATCCAACCATGATATCTACGCGAGAAAAGGGATATAAGAATCTTTTATAAATAGGCGTACTAAACTAAGATAATTATAATATGATCTTCATCAGTTATGTGAATACTTGTGTAGTGTATACTAGTTATATGAAATTAGAGTAGGATAGCTATTCGAATAAGTGGCCCTAACTCCAAATCCACAACCAAACAAGGAACAGGAAGTGAGGCAAAGGTCACAGATTCTGAGTCTATAATACCTAAATTTCATATAACCTTAGCGTACACACTTAACAATGATTGACCTACTTGATAGAGACCCTTTTTAGTTCTCAGGTATGTAGTTATAGTAACCCAAAATACTCTTATAGTATTTTAGATTTATTTTCTGTTCTAATGTTCTTATCATAGTAGTGTTGGTAAGTTTTTAGACTCGTTAACATATCACAACCATTCTAGGCCATATGCTAATCACTCCTCGGACCCGCATAGTTGATCAGGCTATGCCATTCCCAAGACCGACCATACATCCCCGAGCTTACCTGTGATATTTAACAATCGTAATACTTTTGTTCTTGTCATTGTGACACTGGTTTTAGTATGAATGCAGCCTAGTATACTTAATTAAATATTTTGGTATTCAATGTATAGACTCTTGGTCAGAGTGTTTTAATCCAAAATGGGTTTATAGTTTAGTATATCTTTTATAGGTTGATATACTTATTTCACTATAAACAATGCTCTGATACCAATCTGTCACACCCCAAAACCGAGAACGGCGGAAACGTTCTGGGGCGGAGGACGTCATGTGATGTATCACAACACAGTAATATTAAACAAGCAAACAACATCATCCATTGCATTAAATATATAATTTTAATACAAGTTAGTCCTGAATGCGCTCCATCTTCTCAAAAGCTGGTCGTGGTACCTGTCTACTGATGACCTGAGAATAAAAGTTATTTTGAAAGAGTTTATCAGCATTAAGCTAGTGAGTTCATAAGTATTTTAGTGTCGGTGTTTGTATCAAAACGTTTGAACATAGTTTTAAACAATAGTTTGTAAACATTGGTGATAAAAGTATGTGAATGCTTGTAAGTGTTTGTAAAAGTTTGAAATCTCTCAGAAAAACCTATATTTTCTATTAAAAGTAGCCTTCTACCAAGGCGTAACTGTTTTGTATGTTTGTTTATCGTAAGAGTGTGAAATTTTCCAAGTGTAACTATCATTATCAAAATATAGTTTATACATTATTGTTTAAGTGAAATAGTCACTAAATGTATATAAAGGATAAATGATTGTAGTACTGTAGTATCGTATTATGAGAACTACTGCTGTACTAACTACCTTAAACCGGATTTATATTAAGGCATCATGTGATTAATTGTACCATACTATCGACTGAGTAACAACGACAAATGAATGGTCGTAAAATGGTATGACGTTTGGCACCCGCAGACCTGCAGGTCCGGCTGTAGCTAGCAGCAAGGTGTAGGATAGTCAATCCAGTATAGATCTATACGCAAACTCACGCTCTCCTTCCAAGACACTCTGGTTACAATTCGGGCCATGACATTTAGTACATGCTCCGATACAGTGGATCACATTTATGTAAGTGTATGTATGTATATGTAATGTATTGTTCCTGTTCTAGTATTGTTGTATATGTTCTCTTCCTAGTATACTTGTATATGTTCCCTTTCTAGTATACTTGTATATGTACTCGTAGAAATGTAATGTATATGTTCTCATAGTGATAAGTATTGACTCATGAATGAACGGACTCATTGATCTAGCAATAGTATAAGTGTAATCCTGTGTTACCCCGATGGTAACTTACTAATGATGTAACTGATAAGCATGAATAAGGAAGAACTTTTATGTCTATATATGCACACATGGTATATAATTAACATTGAAAAAACCCTCGGACGGCTACCCGACATCCCACCAGACCACATCCAATTCGAGGAAAAGGAAATAGGGCGAATGGCCTTCCTAAGCCTTTTAAACATTTCTTATATATCTATGCATATATGGACATGCAATTTATAAGAAGTATAATAAAGTTTAAATAAAAGTATTTGATAAGTAAAAGAGTTTGTAAAACATTTTGAAGTAAAACAGTTTGATAAACATTTTGAAACAGTGATAAATTCATTGGTTTTGTAGTTATTAATCACATGTGATTGATGTAATAACTATAAGTATTCAACTTGTATTCCCCCCCCCCCCCCCCATAAAAGTATTTAAAACATTTAAAAGTATTTCAAAGGTTAATTAAAGGGGTATAAACTCACCTGTAGTGAGTTGTTCTGATGACAAAGTTGGATTTGATGCTAGGGGTCAAGTGGTGACTCGAGTATACACGTGAAGCCTATTTAGCATATATTGGCACATGTATGGATATAATTATTGTTATGAACAACTAATTGATTATTTTGGGACCATCATAGGGACTAGTAAACATTTATAATGAAGTGTTATAATCATATATGATTGTATGAGGGTTTATAAGGCTATACAAGAGGGTGTATGGCCAAAATACACACTATACGTGTGTGTGCGGCCTAGTGTGCTACCAGCACATGTGTGCGGCCCTGTGTGCAACCATGTGTGCTGCCAGATGGTGTGTGCTGCCATGTGTGCGGCCAAATGGTGTTCTTGGTGTTCTTGGTACCTTTTTATGAAGATCTTCAAGGAGAATGGATGATACTTGAGAGGATTTCGTGTTCTATGCTTGAAGAAATGAAGGAAGTGTTCAAAAATGATTCAAGTGTGGTATGTATATATGGAGTGTGCGGTTGGGAAGGGTGTGAGGCCGCAAACAAGAGTGTGTGGCTGCACACTCAAGTGTGTAGTTGCACACTCCATGTGTTGGAGTGTTTGGCCCGGTTTTGATTCCTACACTTCAAGTTAACCCTTTTTATCACTCCTAACTTGATTATATCACATTTAGAATGCTTCATTAGACTCTAAAGGGTACTACTATATAGTAAAATAAGTCTAATATTGGAAAGAATTGAAGAGTGCATGCGAGAAGTTTTTCGGCTTGTCACACTAAATACAACACAACTTTATGTGCCCCTCGTCTTTAGTATCATAAACGATTGATCAAATACGAGTCTGATACCATGTAAACTTTTTAACAAAATACTACTATGGTTTCATTATTGAAAAATAGAGACTAGAATTACAATGAAAAGGAAAAGACAACATATATATATATATATATATATATATATATATATATATATATATATATATATATATATATATATATATATAATGCTCGACATTAACCGGTGGAACAGGGTTAAAAGATTAATCAAGTAAGATAGTATTAATCGAGGGATGAAGCGGCGACAATAAATTGTTTATTCGTTGAATTTTAAAACATTAAACATGAGTAGTATCATAAAAAAGTTCGCAAATATCACTAATATCATAACAAAATAAGTTAATATGATTACTAGAATACTAATTCTTTCGCAAATAATTTCTAATTACGTAGAACTTCCTCATATTAAAACTTCATTGCTTGCTACTATTTCATTCATTTTGTAGATATGGACTAATTGCTAGGTGCCTTCAAGTCTGTTATATAGCCTTTAGCTAGGGATTAATTGAAGATTAATTGGATCTTAATCGACATTTTTACAACACTGATATATATAAAATGAATTAGATTAAACCTAGTTATAGAGCTAAAAGGCCAAACATGACCAAACCAGAAAATCTTCCTATCTAATAAAAGAATAATTTTATTCTGCTCTTGACATATGTCATCTTATTAAGCTTCTTAATTAATGTGTATTTTATTCTTGTTTTGGTATGTGTCATCATATTATTCTCCTAATTAATACATGACATTTGTAAACTTATTGATTCTCCATTTCAAATTTCAAATCTTAAATTTCTCACTCTAATTACATTAAATTAATAACATTAGAATAAAAATTAAAATAAACATAATACAAATTATAAAATGATATAATTTGACATATTTATTTAAGTCAATGATTAAAATTTATATAACTAAAAAAATCTCTTAATTAATAATATATTTAAAATAATTGATTAATAATTTTTAGTTTTTATTTTAAAAGTTTAATTAAGTGTATAACCGTGGTTCCTACGGGTTAAAAACTAATGTATAATAACTTTATTAAGCTGAGAGAGGCAACGTATATGTCGTAACAGGAAGAATCGTGGACCGAATCAACCAACTTTAATGGACCGAGTGCAATATTTTAGAAGGTGTATCAAACATGTCAATTGAATATTTTGGACTCGATCCACTTTTGGACCCAATTAGAAGTCAAATCAAACACACCCTCAATTATGTTCGAAAAAGTTGTCCCTCTACATGTACACACAAACATTAACAATTCTGATTTATATGGAAATTCCAAATAAACCATCAAAAGTAAAAACAAAAGCAACATTGAAAATTACAAAAAGAAATTAAACAATCAATAACAAGAATGAAAATAGATATTACATCATGGTCACATCAATAAATAACCAAAAGGAAGATGGGCACTTAATTATGGTATAAGATCATCCGAAGAAACACGTTCCAATATAGATAAATATAAAAACCACAGAGATTATTGGTTTTAATATAAAATGATTTATGAGGTTTTGCTTGAGGTGAACTTTAAAGTATATGAAAACCGTGGATCAAGATTATTTGTATGTACTTTCTTTTCATTTACACTTAAGTGCAGCATCAAACATCATAGTAAAAGCCTTTTCAATGCATGTCCGAAACTTCGCATGATCTATGAAACCTTTCTGGGTTCCTACTGCCATCCTCAGCTGGTCCATGTAACTCATTACTGTCACCGTAAGACTCTGCCAGAAAGTTAGAATCCATGAACACATTTCTCAGTTTGTGTAATGCGTGAGTTGAGTACAAAACAGTATTATATATGAAGCATCCTAAATAATTTGAAACACCCGATTAGGTTAATTAGTTAAAAAAGTAATGATACCTGTGGAACATTGACAACCATGAAATATAACCCTTTAATTGGTTGATTAGAAAGAGTCATCTTCTCAAGTGGCCCAATCATATTTGACACAGTCATGCTTGAATTCTTCAGCGTGCTGTGAATGTATTCAGCTGTCGCCTTTACACGAATTACCCACAAAGTTAAGATACACAGAAAGATATAGAGTACAATATATCAGAGCTAATAAATGATGTAGATAGCGATACCTCTGGACCTCTATATTTTCTCACAGAGTCAAGTAGCATTCCAGTGAGATAAACACCAGAGGAGTTTCTCTTCCTCTTGATTGTATTCTGTGTTTCTTGAACAAATTTGAGTGGATTCAATGAGTGGTCGTATTCGTGTAGCTCGGGTAATGAAACATGCAAGAAACCAAATTGGTTTCCCCATTGAATTTCAGCTTCCTCGTTTTGAACCATTTCATCCACAGACTTGTATCCACCAATAGATCTAGTGTTAAGCAACACCAATGCTGTGGACATTGCGTTTCTTGATTCTTCATTTGTTGCTTCCATGTATAATCTAGTCCCCAGGAAGATCATTCCAGTAACTACGTCATTTATTGTCTGTTTAACAACAATATTAAATTCATATTGAGAAGTGTAAGACGAACGCAACAAGTTCATATTGAGAAAATAGAGTTCTAGACTCTTCAAATCTATTCAAACATTAATCCTTGATGTAAATGTTGATTATATCGAGACCTGATAATAAAATGAATGAAGTGTACATTGTGATTTGGTGATAGTGCTTCAAGGTTCATTGCTATTTCATCTACTCTACTTACATTGGAAAGCCGAATTAGAATTAGACGTTTTTTAGTTTGTTAATGTGGTTTTGAAATCGACTGTTTGGTTGTATTATTTTTAGATGCCTTCTTATTTGATTCTCTTGTAACTCGATATATAAGCCTTTTTGTACACAGCCAATTTCCTGTTGGCGTTTCATTTTTAATATATTATTTCACAACACTTAAAAGAATAAAAGAAACACATAATAAAAACTAACAATTACTCTTTCATTCAACTACACACAGATATCAAAATTACATCTACCAATGCACATTTATTTCTATCATAAATAAATGAGAGAGACCTAACTGTACATTCACCTACCGATATAATCACTAATGATATTATTAACATTATCTAATAAATTGTAGCAAATTGCATGTTATTACAGATTCAGCTTTATTGGACTCTGAGTATTCCTTATAAGATTGATTTTCCTACAAAACCGGTGTCCCGATATGAACTTCAAAACCCGGTTTTTAGTTATTAATAACAAGCTGTACTATTTATAAGATTGATTTTACTGTGAGATGTCGTTGTAATCTTGTTATTCCATGAAAATACATGGTAGTAATTAATGAATGATTACGTGTCATTATAAAGTTAATCAAAACAAACAATATATACAGTAACGTGAAACAAATAGTAAATACTCTGAGAATTTTGGTAAAATCACCTACATAAATTTTTATACCAAATAGCTCACCTACAAAAATCTAGCCATGCTGTCAAACGTTCTTAAAAAAGCAATTTGAAAAGGTACTTGCTTGGTATAGGATGTAGTATGACTCACTATATTTAGTCTATAAGGCGATTAAAGATTGTCTTGAATTAATGAGATGGGGCTAAGATTTGGTAGCCATTTATCTTTTTTGTTTTGTAGTGTATTTATTAAATTGCAATCTTTTATGTTTTTTTTTTTTTTTTATGTTAGGGATGCGCATAATGCTTGTATGTATAATTCGCCATTATACTAGTAGTTTTTTTTTTTTTTTTCTTTATCAACGGCACCTGAGTTTCTAACTTTCTATCATATCATATCCACCGCATTATAAGAAATATGTGAATTGGAACGAAAAGGCATTAGGGTGAAATCCAACCGAAGTAGACGCTAGCTAGAATAGTAGAATTGATTTTTTTTTTTTTTACTTTTTGAACGGATAATTGATTTTTAAATTTTATTGATCACACATATAACCTACATACAATAACTATAAAACGTACATAAATGGTCCTGCTATGTTTTCAATACAGAAAACAAATATTTCAACTGTCAAAGAATTAGGGAAGTAGAAATATTATAGTTATGCATTTATATCCAATATTTATTATTATCTTATTCTCTATGTTTGTTTTGTTATTAGGGTTGTTATGTATTATGGTAAACCAATCAATATTCTATCAACCAAACTAGAAACAGTTGATAGTTTGGTACTAAATTTACAATACAAAATTATCTAGAAGTTTATCATTATCAATTTGTACCAAGTAATAGCAATAACGTTTTGTACCAAATATAATTAATACAATACACACGGTTTGACTGTTTCATCTTTATCTCAACTATAGTATGCATAACATCCTATAAATTAGTTTAGAAGATCACGTCATATCGGTGCGTTCATTTATAGTCATTTGATTTCCACCTATGGTCTATAGGTACACGAGATCCTACTTAATTAATATTTTCTCATTGATGTCTTTATGGCCCTTATCTATACTTTGCTATATGAAAGGCTATTCAATAATATATGTTGGGGTGCCGATATGTTTTCCTCATGACCATTGACGACCATATTAAATAAAATAAATGCATATGATCAACTAATATTTAATATATCTAATACCTTATATAATGCATTATTTGTAGAAGAAACGCGGTGGAACTTAACCTTTGTATTATTTAGACCAATAATAGATCTTTAAGTGAATTAAAACGAAGTAAATGCTTACCACTTGAAGACGCGACTTAATTTGCTTAATTTGATCCAAAGAGAATGTCATCGTCATAATATCGATCGGCTTCAACTCCACCCCTTCTTCGCCTGAACGTATCGGAGTTCGACCATCTTCCAAGAAACTACTCTTTAAAAGGCTCCAACCAAAATCCATAACTGTATTTATCGCACCACTAAGAGCCTGTGGTACTACACTTATTAAGCTCTTTTCTTCTTTATCTAGCTTGACAGCTTTCTGAAAATTTGGAAATGTCAAGGGGAGAGAAGGGTTATCTGCTCTTTGTAGACACGAAAGAAGCGCACCCATAAGAGAGAAACCATCACCAAGTGCATGATGAAGCTTGAACACAACGCTTCCGGATGCATTGCTTGTTGGGTACTTGATGATGTGAATTTCCCATAAAGGCTTTGTTTGTGGGAGTGGATCCATTGCCATTTTCGATAGGTAATCATTGAAGTAACGATCGTAAGATTTCGGTGATAAACCTTCGGGAAAACAAGGAACATTGATATGGTCTTCAGCCTTCACTTCGACTCTCTTCCAGTGTTTCACTCCCTCTTTGTCTTCAACCTGATAATAATAACATGTATATAACTAGTGAATTTCCCATAATAGCATTGTTTGTATTGGTTTTACTAAACCTTGAAAAGGTGCAATAGAAACTTCATCATTATAATCACAGTTACTGTATATGTGAAAATTTGGTATGTGTTCAACTGTCCACCTGATCCATAATCATGATTCCATTATCTGATGGGTCTATACTCTATAGTCATACTAATAAAAAAAATACATTAGATTTATGAGTACTTTTGGACTGTATCGGGTTCTATTTGTTACTTCCTTCCTACCAAAGAACTTAACAATATCTCAATATATAAACCTTCGTCTAATTCGGCATGCTATTGACAAGAAGTATATATAGAGAAAACAGTAAAACATTATCGCTTATTTTTACTACTCTCTAACCATTTCTCACTCACATCTATGAAACATAAGCAAGAACCATATATAACCATGATGTAGTTCCTGGTTTTGCAAGATGATGATCATCATCGACATTCAACAACCTGATCAATGCCTAGAGAGAGACACAAAGGTATCTAGAGAGAGAGAGAGAGAGAGAGAGTAAGACTGAGAGTAGTAGGAATGGTAGGGTTACCATAATAGAAGAGAAACGAGGGTTAATGGGAAGAAAGACATCGTTAATGAGTGCAAGGCTTGAAGAGTCATCAATGGGGTTGTCAAACTCCAAGATGCTAATAACAGAAATGGAAAGCACCGAGCTGTTGAAGTACTGGCCGGTCGGGCTCACCGGTTCTGACATTTCCTTATCTTCCACACGTTCTACCTTCACCTTCAACTCCATATATATCCAACTCTCTGTGTGTTCTGCTTGCTGCTAAATGATATATAATGTATTCGATTCCTAACAAGCCTAAAGGGTACTCTATGACATGGTGTGCTCACAAGTTATCTATCTGTACCCTTTAGGTCTCGCATTATTCAAGGATTTTGCTTTTTCACACCGAAGTTTAATAAATATAAAGCAGTATGTTACGATAGGTTGTGCATCATGCATACTGATTGTGTATTCTTTCTGGATTTAACGACTTTGTGATGGCAAAGGGGTCAATCTCAGTTATGAGCGGCACATGCGTAGTAGGTGCCGTTTAATTAAAGCAAGACTTTTACCCTTCTAGACAAATTTTTAGTTGTTTCTATGCTTTTACTGTGTTCTTTGTAGATGTATTCTTAACTACTCGTTTTTAAGATTATTGTAAATAACGACTAATAATTGATTTCTGTTTATTGGAAATTTATTTCGATGGGTTGAGAAGTTATTAAAGAACTATTCAATGATATAAATTAAATTGGTATTATTACTAGAGTTGACTACATACTTTAAATTTGTGGATATAAATAATGGATAATCTTCACCATACAAACACGTACAAACTTTTTCCAGCCATATAATTTTGACCCCTATAAGCACTCTTTGTTTGAAGAAAATGTGCTTTTTCAAAATGTTTTTTATAAGGAAATTTAAATTGGTTTTTGAAATTGGAAGTACAAATTACAAAACTTGTTAATCCAACCATTTTGAAATCCCTAGTGGTTATTTAAAGGGTATTCTTTATACCAAATGTCTTTTTGCTTTAATATTATGTATCTTACCGCTTAATTATATTAAAATGTTGTATCTTTTTTTGTAAACGGTAAAACTCACATCAATACAACATAAGGAAAAGTACAAGCACAAAACATGAAAAAGGTAACATATGGAAAACACAAAATATTATAGACAAAGAAATTAAGGGACCTAAATACTATAGTCTCCGGTCAATGTTCTTTAGCTATCCCTTATGTTTGCATCAAATGAAAGGTATCGACTTTATCCTTTCCAGTGTGGGCACAAGATCACATTCAACAATTTTCTTTTCTTTTTGCATTTAGATCATCGCGATATGAAAAGTAACATATCTTTTACCGAATCAAAGCCATCACCAGAGATTTTGCACCAAAAAAAAAAAAGAATCCATCACCTCTTTCGCCAATGGGTATATGAGTAAAATTGATCACTCGAATCCTCCTGATAGTGATAGTTACAGGAACCAAATATAAGCGATGGAACTGTGAGACCTCTCCGTTTAAGTGCTAATACTGGTGGGATTTTGCCCAACCTCGCTGTCCATATAAAGCATAAAACTTTTAACAGGATCACCTTACACCATTCAAATGATCCATCACCCACCACATGACCTGAAAATTCAATCCGATCGCATAACAATCTCACAGAAAAACGATGGTCAATCACGAAATCAGAGGCCCAACGGAATTTCGTTGGGTTCCAGTACACAATCTCCTTAGGGTCGATATTGAGTTTTTTTAAGGTAGGCCTTATTTTGACTATATTCTTCCAAACACCCATTCTGGATCTATTAGCAAAAATAGACCAATGTCTTTTGTCTAGGTCATGGATGCAGCGAATAACTTTCTCCCATAGTGTTGAATTATCACTTTTCAATCGCCACATCCATTTAGCTAGCAGAGATATTTTAAGACTTTTGATAGATCCAAACCCAGTACACCCCCCCCCCACCCAACCTTGTTTTTCCTAGGCCACCCAACTTATACTTTTCTTTTCCAAATTATTGCTCCAAATAAATCTTCTTCTAATTTTCTCGAGGGTCTCAATCACTCCTCTCAGAACAACAAATATGGACATAAAAAAGTTGGAAGATTACCAAGAACCGCATTTGCTAACGTCACTCTTCCACCAAAGCTAAGCGATTTCGTTTTCCATATAGAGAGCTTAGAATGGAATTTCTCAATAATCAACCTCCAAGCATTCTTCAGGGTCATGTTTTCTCCCGCTAGAATGCCTAGATAAGTAAACGGGAGAGATGATGGCTCACATCCAAGAGGGGTAGCCCAATTCGATATTTCATTAGGTAATGCTCCGACTCATAACACTTTACATTTTCTAAAGTTAACTTTCAACCCCGATGAAACATGGAAGCACCTCAATATCCTAGCCAAGTTAGCAATATTATGTCTCGACCATTCACCGATGAAAAAGGCGTCATCTGAGTAAAAGAGATGAGACAAACAGATATTAAAGTTTTAGAATTTGATTCCATCAAAAACTTCTTTCTCGACCGTTGTCTTCATTGCTACATTTAACCCTTCCATCGCAATGATCAATAGGAAGGGAGAAAGCGGGTCACCTTTCCTCACCCCTTTCTCCATAGAGAATTCATTAGTTGGACTTCCATTGATAATCACCGATGCTCTTCCCGATTCTAAACAATTACGAATTGAATATCTCCATTTATTACCAAAGCTCATTTGATCCACATTTGAGTCCAAAAATACCTAATTTACAAAATCAAAAGCTTTATTAAAGTTAGCTTTGAAAAACAACATTTTTTTTTTCCTTTTTGCTTTTGCCCAAGTGCAGAGCTCATTAACCACCATTGGACCCTCAATGATATTTCTTCCTTCAACATAGGCCAATTAAAATTCATCAATGATATTATCGATGACTTTTTTTTGTTTGATTGCTAACAACTTTGCAATGATTTTGTATAAGGATCTAATCAGGCTTATAGCTCTAAAATCTCCAAAGTGATTGGGTCTTCAGATTTAGCCGCAAGGGATATGAAGAAGGAGTTGCATCCCCTAGTGATTTTGCAATCCCCTTCAAAGTACTTCACCAACCCCATAATATTTCCTTTTAATAAATCTCAGTATTTCTTGAGTAATTTAAAACTGAAACCGTCCGGTCGAGGAGACTTATCTCCTTCACACGACGAAACTAGATTTTTTATTTCTTCAATTGAGAACTCTCCTTCTAGAAAACTAGCATCAGATTCAGAAAGTTTATTAAATCTTGGATTGCAAAACAACGGTTTGTTTTGCCAATGTTCTCTGTATTTTTCCTCAAAAAATTTTGCCGCCTCTTGTTTAACTTCAGACGGCTCAGTTAACAAAACTCCATTTGCCATAATCCAGTGAATATGATTTTTTTGGTTCCTGAGATTCACATAGCCATGAAAAAATTGTGTATTTTTATCGCCTTCTACCTCCCATTTTAGTTTAGCTCTTTGCTTCAACTCCAAGGCGATTGACCTGAGATGTTCAACAATTTTAATACCTCCAATTGATCTTTCCTCAATTTCTGCTGAAGTCAAAGGCCTGGATTCCGCCACTAATTCGGAATCCAAGCCTTTGACTTTAGCAGAAATTGAGGAAAGATCAATTGGAGGTATTAAAAATTGTTGAACAATTTTATATACTAATTATTTTCACTAATTATAAAATATATAGCTAAGATAACAATATTAGTTATTAAAAATATATCATTCGAAAATATTTTTCAAAATAATAAAACTATAGAAAATAATTTAACATTGTAATATATTTTGTTATTTGTATATATTTACTTTTTTTTTTTTTTTTGCAAATTAAGTCCATGAACTTCTTTTTGTACACAATGCTTATGAACGAGTATTCCATGTTCAGTTCTCAATATATACACATTTAGTCCTTAATTTATTTTTTCAAATCAATTCATTGTTTTTTTATACATATTAAATCCTTATGATAGGTTTTTTCAGGTTTTGTTCATATGGCCTCCCATGTGGGAATATCATTAATGATGTCTTCTCGTATGTGGCTTTTCCACACATTAGAATCATGTGTCACTTGTCTTGGTTTTAGTTTAGTAGTAAGATCATATTATATGATTTAATAGAGGCAGATTAATAATATTATAGCTTTAATATCATTACAGAAGATTACTGTAACAGCCCGGATTTCCAGGTATCTTTTATTCATATATTTTTGGTGTTTTGTGAGGGGACTCGGCGAGTTGGAGCTCAAACTCGCCGAGTAGGATCGCGGTTTTGGACGTGGGTTCGCGCCTGGACTCGACGAGTCCATGGAATGGACTCGGCGAGTCTGCGCTGTTTAATGAAACCCTAATTTCCCGGTCCTAAGCCCTATTTTAAGGACCTTATGGCCCTTCATTGCGGCTACCTTGACCTTAAGAGCACCAAAGCAGCTAAGGGTTCCTGTGAGTGAGATAAGAGGCCATTGTTCACCAAATTTGTGTGTATTTGCAAGAAAGGAAGGGGAAAGTCAAGCTAGAAGAGTTGGGGAGCTTGGATCTACTTCCATTTCGCCAGGGGAAGCTTCTTGAGGTATCATTCAGAGCTTATTTCCGTATTTTTGTTGATATGGTCAAATCTAGGGTTTCTTCTTGCCTTGTTTGCTTTGTAATTGAAGTGTGAGAGGTCCCATGGGGATATGGTACCTAGATCTGGACCTTAGCAGGTCCAGAAAGTCCCTTATGCTATGCTTTATGTCCTTCCTTTTGGGTTGGAGACTAGGGTTGCCATATTAGAGGTCATTTCTCCAAAAAGAGCCTTGTAGGTGCTGCATGGTAGCCAAGACTATGACTTTACGTGATGAATGAGCTTAGGAGGGCCAGATCTATGAGTGGATGTAGCGGATCTGACCTCAGAAGCGATATTGAGTTGATGCATGGCATGGACTCGTCGAGTCTGAATAACAGACTCGGCGAGTAGCATGAAGATTGTCCTTAACCACTCAGTGAGTGGTCCTGCCGAGTTATGGTTGACTCAGTGAGTCATGGAGAGTTAGAGAGGGTTGACAGGTGGACTGAGTCGAGCTGGAACTCGCTGAGTTGTTCTTGTGACTCGGCGAGTTGAGTCGTAGTTGCCCCGCGATTCACGCCAGGTGGAACTCGTTGAGTCAGGGGAATACTCGACGTGTCAAAAGAGAATCCTAGAGAGTTGGTGAAAACGCTTAGACTCGCCGAGTCGATCTAGTGTACTCGCCGAGTCCGGTCAAGTTGACCGTTGACCAGAGTTGACTAGTGTTGACTTGATAGGGGTAGTCAACCTTAGTGGTAAAAGTATTAACTAGAGATATATGATGTTATAGGAGGATTATAGCTCGGGGGATTGAGCACGAGTGATTTCCAGGATTCGCGAGTTATCGAGATATACAAGGTGAGTCTTCTCACTATACTGTACCCGGAAGAGTTTGAGTGTGTGATCGGAAGGTTGAATATGATATGAGATATATGCATTATGTGTGATAAGTTAATTGTTATATGTGCCATGTATGATATGCTTGATATGGGCCGGAAGGCATTATGTTATGGGCTAGAAGGCGAATATGTTATGGGCCGGAAGGCGTTGTAATATGGACCGTAAGGTTGACGTGGGTAGGACCGGAAGGTTTACCCAGTCGGGACGGAAGTCCCCTGAGACACATGGACCGGAAGGTCAGGGCCTGGAAAGGCGTATGTGCGTAGGTTGTATTTTGGGGAACTCACTAAGCAATTATGCTTACAGTTGTGGTGTTATGTGTTTCAGGTACTAGCGAGGACCGTGGGAAGGCGCTGGCGTGATCGTACACATTATCGGGGAAAACTATTTTTATGATCTTTGTGATGTATTCGGTTGTGACAATATTGTTTACGTTGAATTTAAAATATTAATCGATGTTTTGATGTTAGCAAAAATGAAAAAAATTGGTTTTAAAATTTACGTCGTTACAATTACAAGTTATTTTAACCGTATCTCTATGTGAATTCTTCTTCATTTCATTTACTACTTTCTTTAGACATGAAACATTATATTTATTATATGCAAGCTCATCTTCAAAATTCGGATTCAATTTGAAATGTTCTTAATCAATCCATTGCCAAAATTCTCTTTTTACCTGGTTTCTTCAGTCACAAAAACAAATTTTAAATCAGTAAGAAAGATGCTAATTTGAAAAGAAAAAACTCATACGTAGAAGGAAAAAATAGTTAAAATCGACATATAAAGGAATTAAGGAAGACTCTAAACTTTTTTCTAGGGTGTTCTTTTATCTTGGAAGTACAAATTCAGGTTAATATGAAACAATCACAAAGAATCTCGTTGTCTACTATTTAGATAGATGAAACTGACGTCGAATACATCTTCTTCTTGAAGCATCATCATACTCTCCCAGCTGAAAATGAGACGCCACAGATTGTCTATTAGGCTGTGGAAAATAAAGATGAGGGAATTGGTTGCCTTCCTTATAGTATCCTCCATTTGCATTATTCAATCCACCATTTGGATTCCTTCGATATTGATTCCCAAAGCCTTGATTTCCGAATCCATCGTTGTAGTCATTGTTGCCACCATTGGGGAAATTCTGGTTGTTCCAATTATTGTTGTAGTTCCAATTTCCACCCCGATTGCCTTGATTTTCGCCTGTTACCACCGTTGTGGTTCTGATTCCAACCAAGTCCGTTGTCACTTCCATCATCAAAGTCCCAGTCATCCTCGTTACCACCATTACCACCATTACCGAATTGAGGACCAACATTTCTAGGATTTTAGTTTTGATTTCTAACATTACCACTGTTGTGGTTTCCTACATTGCCTCCCATATTTTGTGCCCAATTTCCTCCATTCCCACCATTTTGGCCACGGTTGTTTCTATTTGGTTGTGGTTGCACTGGTTGGATGATTGGTGTACCGGCATTGTTGTTATTCCCATTGTTGTTGTTTGGGAATTGAGGAGCTTGTGGTGGAACTAGTGGTGGTGGATTGTTGGTTGCATCCTCACGCCCCTCGACCACATCTTCCACAACAACATTATCTACACTCATAGTGTTGATGTTCCTTTTGGAGACCCGATTTGAGCGAGTTGTTCATTCGATTTCCGGATCAAATGCAAGCGGTGAAGAGCGTCCACTATGTCTCGTATGCATGCACCGTTGTGCCTACACAACACAAATAAAACAAAACGTGAACTGCAAACAAGAATTTAAAATGAAAGTAAAAGGCTATAACTACTTAAACACAATAGCTCAAGCACACAAGCTCCCCGACAACGGCGCCAAATTTTGATCAAGGTCGTTGTCTCGATCAAAAATAAACCAACTAACCTAAGTAGATATGGTAAGTCGGGTGGAATCCATAAGGATTTTATGGTTAAACTTTGTGTCAAAGCAGTCAATAAAAAGAAAAGTATTACTATCAATTGTCACAAAAAAAGATTAAAACAAAATTCAAACAAAAGCTTGGAAATATATCAATTAAAAATAAAAATCTCAATGAGAAAACTAGAGTACTCCCGGTTCAGTTATAGACAGTTTAGATTCACACACTTTCTTCCGTAGAATCCTAATTCAATTACTTAGATGTAATTGGGGTTTATTAACTTGGAATACATAGTTTGGGTACATAGTATGTTCATTCAACTAATTGTCTTACTCCTTTATGTCTAAATGAAATGGGAACAATTAGTGAACTAGCAATAAAATGTCTTACAACTACCTATTACCATATTGAGATTCAATATCATAAATTGGAATAATATATGTTGATTCAATCACTTGTCTTTATTCCTAAACTAATTGAATTTGGAACAAATGATGAATTGGCAATAAACTATCTTAATTATGACATCAAACAACTTCATACAACCCAATTTCAATCGTTAGTACCAAAAGATCATCATGTGAAGCATAAAATAACAATTGGAATTAATTAGAATCAAGTAATAATCAAGTGTGTTCATCCAAAAGTCATAAACATCCCCGGAAGTAACCCTACTGGTTTAGCCTTCCATTAAATTCATAAAAACAATAACTTTGATGGAATGATTGAAATGCATAATAGAATTCACACACAAACTTAAAATCATCCAACAATTGTAACCTAATGATTATCAAAATATGGAACAAATAAACCTTGTGAAGAAGTAATGGTTTCTGAAAGTTACTAAAATTGATGAGAATCACCGATTGAATGATCTTCAATTGTTGCTTGATGATGAATTGAATCGAATATTGCCTTGAATCCGGATTGAAATGGAATGGATTTATGTTTCCAAATGTTTCCAAGGGTTTTAGAAGCCTTAAAAACGTAGGGAAAACTCTGAAAATTGCAGGTGGGAACCCTAAAAATGAATGTACAAGTCCCAATTTATAGTGTGAGACAAAAAAATAATGAAATTGAGCGATGTGGGATGTTGGACGTCCCAGGGGACGTCTTAGACGTCTTGTATAACGCTCATGCGTTCTTTGTACATCCTTGCATGCCATCTGTCTTCCTTGAAATACACTAAAAATTGGCCAAAAACGTCAGACGTCTTAGGGGACGTCTTAGACGCGTTCTAGGACGCTACTTCTTGTTTTCTAAACTTTCCGAAACACACCGTTCCAACACGAAACGTCCCTAAAACGCCCAGACGTCCTAGGGGACGTCTTAGACGCCATGTAAGACGCCGACGAGGGTTCCTCCTTCTTTTCTGCTCTGAATTAACGACCAAATGCTGACCGTTTGACCTGGACGTCTTAGGGGATGTCTTAGACGCCTGGAGGCATCCTTCATCTTCCGTGGAAGTTTTGGTGGTCAAAACGACATAACTAGAAGAAACACAAAACACGAAAGTTGTAGCAAATCTTGTCTAGTTTCCAGAACTTCTTTATTCATGTCAATCGGAGCTCCAGAACTTGAGATATGATGAAAACAATGAAGAGTGTTCAACTTTCCCGACAACATTTCTTTATTCCTTGAGTAATTCGTTTTACTTGCAGGTTCCGCCCACTTTTAGTACGATATATTGACCTGCACATGAAGTTCAACAACTCATCAAAGTAGTGCCATTCTTGGATAATTACACATCAATTCAACATAATTATGACAATTTAACACATTCATAAAATAGACTTATCAGATGACACATGTCAAAAGGAGATTAAAGTTATTCTTTTATTAGAATAGGAAGATAAGATGAAATATGTTTTCGCATTTTCAAAAATTATTTATGCTTTTGCATTAACCTAGTTTATATATATATATATATATATATATATATATATATATATATATATATATATATATATATATATATATATATATATATATAGGGTAAATGATACAAAAAACACTCTATTTACACAGAAATTTGATTTTGATACCGTGTTTTTTTTGTGTCAATTTTGACACTATGTTTTCTAATTTGTTACAATTTTAACCATTTGACCAGTTAACCATGTTACATGCTGACGTGGCATGATGACGGGTCAGTTTTGATGACGTGGCATGCTGACGTGTCAAAATTGAATTTTTTTTCACAAAAAACACTCAGTTTTTATTTTTTTTTTTTTGATTTTAACACAAAGTTTAATTTTTTCTTTCAACTTTGATACTATGTTTTTTTGTTCCAAATCGAACATCATTTTTTCCAATTTTGTTCAGTATTGATAATTTTCTATGTGAAACCGTATAAATATTTTTTTAATACATTTAAACCGTATAAATATGTTTTTTTTTTCATTTAAAAACCATAGTTTTATACAAATACAATTTTTTTTACACTCAAACCATATTTTTATATATAAATATGTATTAGTTATATAAAAATTGTATTTTATATTAAATATGCAACTTTAAAATGTGTTTGGAGGTTTGGAGGCGTGTAGTCGATCAAAACTCGGATATCAAGTTTGCAACCCATCAAATTTTTACATCTTATTAGAAGCTTATTGTTAGTTTGATTCTCATGATATAACTAATGATTTGAATATAAGAAAAAAAACACCTTGTATTTAAATAAAAATGTGGTTTTTAAACGAAAAAAAATATGTTTATACGGTTTAGAATATAATAAAAAATATATGTATACGGTTTCAAATGGAAAATAGACAAAATTTGAACAAAATTTGATAAATAATGTTCGATTGGAACAAAAAAAAAACATAGTGTCAAAATTGAAATAAAAAATTAAACTTAGTGTCAAAATTGAAAAAAAAAATGAAAACTTAGTGTTTTTTGTGGGAAAAAATTAATTTTGCCATGTCATCAAAACTGACATGTCATCATGCCACATCAGCATATAACCTTGTTAATCGGTCAAGTGGTCAGAATTGTAACAAATTGGAAAACACAGTGTCAAAATTAACACAAAAAAAAACATGGTGTCAAAATCGAATTTATGTGTAAAAAAAGTATTTTTTGTACCATTTACCCATATATATTAGAGTATAAAATTGATAAACTTTGGTGAATCATATGTTGGAATACTTTAAAGCCTTATTTATTTAATAATTTATTTCGTGGGCATTATGTTGTTCTACATTTATAATATTTATTATTTTGAAAAATAGTATATGAAAAAATATTTTTAACTTTATTTTGTATTTTCGATTATATTTTGGATTTAACATAATAATTTTTTTTAATCTTAACTTGATTGGTTAATTGTTATTATTTAGGTCTATTTTTTTATTTATTTTTTCAATAATGATTAAAAATACTTTTTTTTATCAAAGTCATTATTAAAATAATAATTAAGTAATGATTATTTATTTATTTTTAATTAATAAATATAATATAAATAAAATTTTATTTTTTAATAAAAAAAACCTAATTGTAATTTGTAAAATATATTATTTAATAAAATTACTAGGACAAAAATTAAAAGTAAAATCTATTTTTTAAAGTCCATTTAATCATATATTAGCGTATAACATTGTTCGATAACGTGTTGTTATATATTAAAATTATATATCAAATCAAATAGAAAAAAAATTGTATTTTTCTTAAATAAATTATTCTTATTGATGTAATCATATAAATGTTTTCAATTTTTTATGTAGCATATAAAGTAACAATAATTATATTTCTTTTATATAATATAAATATATTATCTTTATTGAAAAAAATATGCCTACAAATCATTAAAAACAATACAAACGAAGATTTAAACAGATTTAAACAGTTAAAAATAATAAGCCTAAATATTAAATTAATAATCATAAATATAATTGTATTTATCCTTTATTAATAAACATTATTAAACATATGGGTTTAACAAATCTTTTAAAAGAAAAAAGATATTTAAAAATAAATAAAAGTTGATATACATGGTTGAAACATTAAAATTAAAAAAAAAAATAAAAAAAAAATAAAAAAATAAAAAACTGAATAATAGAACTTAATCACCCAAAAAATTGACCATCTCCCTATACTAATAAAAGAGTAACTATTTTGTCATGTGTCACCATATTAGATCTCTTAATTAATGTGTTGTCACTTATCAATGTATTAGTTTTCCATTTAAAATTTATTAGACCTTTTTATTAATGTGATGCTATTTGTTAATATATTTATTCTCTATTTTAAATTTTAAATTTTAAATTTAAATTTTATATTATTGTTTTCATTAATTCACAAATAAAAAATATCTAATATATAATAAAAATTAATTTTTCATATTTTTTTGAATTAACGATTAGAATTTTACATAACTAATAAAAATATCTCTTAATTAGTAATTTATTTAAAATAAATGATTAATAATTTTGATTTTTACTAGAAAAGTCTAATTAATTTTATAAACTAGTATCTTATAATAATAATAATAATAATAATATTAATAAAAAACAAAAAAAGGTTTACTCCTATGTGTGCATTAGCAGCGAAAAAAAGGCGTCTGGCTCATTGTCCAAGAAGGTAAGTGGCCCTTTTTTCTTTAATAAATTGGTTTATTATTGGAGTTTAAGGATTAGAGTTTTTTTGTACCAAAATATATAGGTTGGAGTATCGGGGTTAAAAATAGGTTGGTGTGTATAAAGAAGGGGTTGGCTAAAAAGACACC